CACTCCGGAGTAACTCGCCTTTTTTCTGAAAGGAACATGTTTTTTTTTGTTCCGCCTGGGGCTATGAGGGTTTCACGCACCAACAACGTAGATCGGAGGTGTAGTTAGAGGCATGAAGGGGCAGGGGAAATCGAGCTTGAACACCTCCGGTGCAACACGCGCAAAATGAAAGGAACCCGAACTAAAGCACCGGTGTTGCTCCGGAGCTGTTCCCAGCTGTGAAAGGAATTCAACTTATGTCAGTTTTTACAGATGCTTACAGTGTTATTGGATAGGTATTCAAATTTATAGGAAAAAAGTATAGGTATAGTATGGGAAAAAAGCCTAAACTAGAAATTAGTTTGCTACGTCACGCTTTTTATAGAGCTTTGGTCGCGGTCGTGATTTGCGATTTGTAGATATCAATCACGGTATCGCTCATCACTAGTATGCTCACGACTTGAGCCCGCCGGCTAATTGTCAGTTGTAAGTGACAATTAGAGCTAATTGTCAGTTGTAAGTGACAATTAGGGCTAATTGTCAGTTGTAACTGACAATTATAGAATATTGACAAAAAAAAACACGATGTCCGTTCAGCGCTTTCGTAACAAGCGCTGTCAAATTGAAATTTCGTGTTTTCGCGCCAAAGTATTTCATTTGAATTTCAATAATTTTTTTTTCCTACAACGTATAAATTAAAATGGAAAAAAAGAAAATTATGTTATAACTGATGACTAGAAGTATTTAAAAAAAATAATTTGAGAAATATGAAAATTCCCTATTTCATCTACAAATAGAAAATTCCTAAGTTAATTTTATTTGTGTGTCAAGAAGCGACATACGTTTTGTCACTAAAACGACAGGTACTTCTAAATAGGTATTAAAAATACTATACAAACGGCAATTAATTTCGCAGAAATAAACATAATGCATCACAGTATACTAAGTATCAAGAGCTACGATCGAGCCATAATATCGAAATTTGATCCAAGCTCTCGAATCCCTTTTGATAACATTATAAAATACTATGAAGTTGCATACGCAGACGTCGGTCGCCATTAAGAATGACCTGATCATATTCTACGTTGCAATTCCTTTGATATCAGATAAACCTTACATTCTTTATCGCATATATCCAATTCCACTCCAGAACCAGATAGCGATATTAGGAAACCCCTATTTGATAAGATCTAATGACAACTTTTATAATACAAAAGAAAACTGTCTTAAAATCGAAAACATATTATTATGCCACATCAAATTACTTAATCAAATTGAGCCCTGCGTTTATCAAACAATGAATTTAACCAATCATTGCCCAATGACTCCAATCGAATATAAGGGAACTTCTGTCACACAATTAGATGACACTTCCCTTATAATTATCTCGACATCAAAAGAAAGCATTTACCATGCATGTGCAACTCTTGTGGCGCAATTTGTTCCGCTAAAAGCTTGCGACTACAGACGGCAGAGGCGCTGTCGTCCAATGCTGTTGTCAGATTTATACACTGGGGCGAGTTCAGAAAAAACACACCGAGTGTGAGTGCGATTTTATGGGTGTGACTAAAATGACAATTCTTAGGCGACAACTTTCGTATGAATTTCTGAACGCTTGGTGTGACCAATCGAGCATCTCCTCAAAAATTTCACCAAATCTATTAGGATTACTTTTTTTTGTTGTTCATTTTTTTAATTTGAAGGAAAAACTTTAATTCTTATTTGTGTTTTGCTTATATTTGGTGGGATTATTGAGATTATGGGAGGAATGGTTGACATTGTTGACATAAAGACACAATCACACCGCAGCCACACCAAAAAATTATGGTGTGACCGGTGCGACACCTGGAGCGCGCCCAAAGTACTTTCTGAACGGCACAGAGTGCGCGCACTCGGTGTGCCTATAGCATTTATGAACGGCTATGCGTCGCACCGGTGTCACACTCACACTGAGTGTGTCATTCCTGAACTCGCCCCTGTGTTTATACATAAAAAGTCCAGATTATTGTTTATTTGTTTTAAAAAGCTTCCAACAATAGGAAAAAAATTCGTGTACTTCGCTAACATATAATTGCCAGTAGTATATGATTTGAAATTACATTTCTTTTTCAAAACAAATATCCCATGCTTTTGACATGTGGCAGCGTCGCTTTACTTTTACTTTTTCATCATATTTTGACAAATTTTGACATATTCCATAATTTGAATCAGAGATTGAAAATTTTCTCCGTTCAAAGCAAAATGGTTTTATCTTGTTGTGTGGCAATATGTGAAACCCGAGGGCACAGAGTAAAAATTCATCGAATTCCCAAAAATGATGAGCAGGTATGTTTCAATCCCTACATTATACCAAAATCGGGATTTTACCTCCTGTAATTTTACCACTGTAACTTTCTTTCTTTTTAGGTGTTTATTTTATGCCTGCAAAACGTTTACAATCAAAAAATCTTATTCATTGTAGGTACCTATTATTGATTGGATTGATATACTGTAGTTAATAAAGTAATTCAAAATTGTTATTTTTGTATTTAATACATGGATTGATTAGTATGTAACTCTTCGGTATGTGATCAAGAGACTGTTTATCATAATTTTATTTCCACTAGAAACATTATTAAATTGTTCAGTGCTAGTGTTAATGAAAAATGATGAACTGATCCTAAAGAAAAAAAATTAAATTTAAAAAGGAGCGCTTCCCGCGCTCTCAACTTGCTGACTACACACGCGAGAGGGCGCTGTAATCAGGAACAAAATGTTTGTATTGAGTTGCCTATCTATAATATAGGTTCGAGAGAGTTTTATATCCCTTATCTATGGCATTTACTGTCAATGTCCCAGCCAACATGGTATTGAAGTAATAAGTTAAATTTCATAGATTTTACCAGGCCCTGCGATCTCTTATTGCCATTTATAAACCACATAATAACTCTTTTCCGTTTTTCTAGATGTCGCTGACAACAACAGAATTGTAAAATACCAGCACATCAAGAACACGTCCGATGTCGATAACATTGACATGAGATTGACATGTCAACATATGACAATATGCCAAAATATTCATTTGATCATAACTAATAATTCATAATGTTTTTCGTTCGCCGGCGGTCTTGCATTTTGTCTTTCTTCGTGTTATCAAGTGTTTCTAAGTGATTTCAAAGTAGTTTTGTGTGTTTCACGAAGACCTTCATACTTTATAGATTGGAAGATCTATTTTTATCTTTGTTGATTAGATTAATGACAGGTTCAATTAAACATCAATCAGAACTTTGAATAAATATGTTAAGGATATCCTTACCCATCGATATAGGAACTGTCTTTTAATCTAATTAACAAAACATCAATTAATTTAAGCAAATATTAATGCCCCAGAGTCTAGAATAAACAAATTTGAACAGACCGACTGTAATGCGAACAAGGCGCCATCTATCATAAAAATGCCTTGAAGCCCTATGTAAAGTAGGTGTCTGTAATGTCGATAAAAAACCAGTAAATAGTGAGTTTCCAATATGGTAGATGGCGCTGGCTTGGCTCAATTTTGTTGACAACAAAATTTACACTGAGATTCCATTCTCGACAGTTTATATAGTATTTATCTCTGGATTTTACCCTCAATTTGTAAAGTCAAAATTCAAGGAAATAATTATGATTTCCAAAAACCAGACATAACTAATTTCAGACTAAAACTACCATCAATCAATATTGACGAAAAGTTGATAAAAAATATCGAACCTTTACAATTAACAGAAATAAATCTTGAAACTATAAGAGAATATTTAGAAAACGTTAAAAAACTAACCATCCACCCTCTTAAGGAATTCGATATTGGTAGTTCAAGTTCATCCATAATTGAAATTATTATATTAATCATTGTAAATCATGGTTATAATATTCTTTGTATGTCGTCATCATAATTATTGTCAGAAGAAGAAAAATCAAACTGATGTAAAAGTGGGCATAGAATTGAAACCTTTCGAAAATCATCCCCAATTTTCTCAAACTTAGTGAGGGAGGAATTATATGGTCATTTCTGACGACGTATTATTGAAATAAGGAGTTTTAGCAAGCTTTTTCAGTGTCAGAGATACCTTAACCTCATTGGGTAAATGATTGTACAGGGTATCAAGTTATAAAGTACCACCCCCTGTAACTTTTTAATTTTTGATCCTACATGAAAAAGTTAGAGGGGATGGTACTTCATAACTTGAATGATGAATCTCGTTGCCTTGCTCGACTAAAATATCTAACTGCCCGTTTTTGCAGAACAAAAAAACTGTTTCACACCCAGACCAGAATTGCCCCAAAAGCAAATCCCATATCTGAGGCGTGACTCAATCGGGGAGTAGTACACAGTTCTGCCCATTGATGGACCCAGTTTCTTCACCGTAATCTTGATTGCATAGCATCCTGAAGCTACTCTCTTGCCCAAAGCAAGAATATGCGATTCAAACCAAGTCCGAGGAACTTAGTGTTAGAGCGCCACACAACTCAATGGTAGTATCTCCAATAACCAAACCCTCCATGTAACACTTAAAGTTTACAATGTTTGTTTATCAAAATTCCGACGCAATCTCTCCAATCCTTGTTTTTTTTTCATATCAGAAATGATCTCATTCAAGGAGGCCAAGTCTCTACAGTACCACAAGACAGTAGCGTCATCCGCGTAAAGCGTAAACCTTCTTCCAATGTCCACAGCAGCCAATTCATTAATAAATAGAAGAAAGAGAGTTGGACCCAAAAGGGACCCCTGAGGAACCCCTCAGTGAATATTCAGACTTATTAAAAACTTTTTGGTGCCGTCCAGTCAGATATGAATCAAACCATGAAAGTGTCACCCTTCTGAAACCATAGGAATGAAACTTGCGCAACAGAATTTCATGACTAACACAGTCACAATGCGGCACCGCGAATACAAATCTTCCAACAATCTGAACATTGCATCACTTGAAGATGGATAGTAGTATTCATCAAAATATTCCATCAAACAGAGGATGTTAGGTTTTTCCTGAAATAAATAAAACCACTGTCCCATAAATAATGTGTTTATTCGCTGTTATAATAATAAAGCACCGTTACATTTTTTCTAAATAAATTCGTTTCTATAAACTACCTAATATTGTGGTTAAGAACCAGAGCTGCATTTGTGCACTTATTTACAGTTGTAAGTTAATTACTAGACAATGACGCTATGATTCAAAACCTGAGGAACAGAATATGGGGCGGATTCATTAAGCCCGAAATTCTTTCCATGTTAACCTACAAATTTACCCATAAGTGTCGAAAAGCAATATCTTAATCTTCTCTGAAACTATAGTATTTTGTAGTTTTAGGAAGAGTTTTTTTTTGACACTCATGTTGAAATGTCTAAAATATATAATTTATTAAGTAGGTATCCCACCACCAACCCCTATTTTTATATCAGAATATAACCAATTGTTAAGTTTGTTTGAATATTATTGTTTTGATGAAACATCGGAGGTAGACAGTAAGAAAATAATAAAATTGCCTGAAAAATTCGGAAACTCGAAGAGTCTCTTGAGACATCTTTAAAATTATTATTATCTTAATCTAGCAGTAGTAGAAAACAAAGTTGTGAAGAAATCTAAGATAGTTATACTAAGTTACTGAGCAAAAATGACTTGAAAGCCATGAATGGCACTAATAAGAATTGATTTTTTTTTTAAATAATTTTTTCAAAATTGTTATTTTCTCGTTTAATAGATAATTACTGAAATCAAGACTGAAAGTTTACTATGTTTGTTCCATGTGTTTTCAATGGCAAGATTTTTCTAGGCCTAAAAGACACTCATTCAACGACTAGGCAATTAAACTTGTAAAAATCACAAGCTACAGTCACCTTTTATGTTCAACTACTATGGCTGTAAGCAGTGTTCGTATAAGGACCGCTGTATATGGAACTTCCAGGATTTGATACCGATTTCTTTCTTCTTCGCGCCAAGAGGCACAAAATGGCTGCTACCACGCAAAGCATCAGAATTAGACCGGCGACGCAGATTCCGATGGCGAAACTTCTTTGTGAAATGCAAATGGCGTCGTCCGGGTACTGAAAAAGAACAATCAAAATAAAATCTAGAATTTTCACGAGTAGGTATATTAAGCTATGTAGATAATGAAGTGTGACTGTTTTGTAACAACCAAAACTTTAATTTGGCATTACAAATGCAGATCCGTTACGGCTCATTAAGTTTAATTTGGCCAGTCATTATTAAACCAAAGTCATTTCGGTGTTACTCTAAATCTACTGCTTTTTGTATTGGGAACTCGGATTCTTAAGTTATTTAAATCGAATGGGTCATCTTAAAAGAAGATGACTCTGTTAAATGAATAAAAAGCGGATTAGACTGTGAAGGTTTTTTGTAAATCAAAATCAACTGGTAAAAAAATTCAATGGAGCAACATTCTAGCATTTCAGCTGGGAGGGTATTTTCATGGTCGACAGAGAATAAGCCATCATTCCTCGTTTCCACTGACATTTTTGGAGGTAATTATCACTCTAATCACTGCTTAGGAGTTGACATTTTATTTTACGAAATCTATTTGCAATACTGAATTTTTTTCAATCTCCATGCACACAATTACTATATCATCGATGTTGTGATAAATAAGTTGCAACAAGATAATAAGTATACAAAAAAATTTATTCCATGAAAGAACAAAGACAGGTTCACCAACTGTTCCAATCACTATCAACAAATCACTACTTTTTACTACACGTCTCGTAAACGTACAACGGAAGTCACGCTTTCTCGTACGCTGAATAATAAATGCTTATTTTAAGTATCTATCATTCATATATTGTATCTGAATTTTTCTTAAAAAGGCATATCACACATATTTCCGTTCGATTTTATATTTATTATGAGTCATAAGAAGTGATGGATGAGTAATTGCTTGGTGTTCAGCCTTTCTATAAAGTTTCCATAATAGTAAAGCCATGCCTCTATCATTAAGGAACCTAAAGGAAGCAACTGTTCCCACGTAGTTAACACAAATTATGTGGTGTATACTTGACTATACGTAAAACTTTAAATTGCCACTTTTCATGACTTCCTGGCAGTGGTGAAGATGGCTGGGAGTATAATGCGATTAGGTTGGTACCAATTTGAATGTGAATATGGTGAAAATTATGTTAGGATAATAAACTGAAATCGCCCAGATGTATTGATAATAGATTGTGTCCTTTGTATATATTTTTAAAGTTTTTACTTCTGACATTTATGTATCGGAACCGGAACCACAAGACATGTGAAAAATTAAATAAATCCTATTATACCTACCACTTACTGAAAAACCAATAGTGACTATAAACTCAGTAGCTTCAAATGCAAACTCCTATAAAGAAAATGTATTGTTTTCTTAACATAGAACAAAACAAGAAAATCTAGTTTGAGACAATTCAAAAAACATCTGAATGTTGCAAGTTTCTTTAATCCCAAAAAAAAAAATGTTAATGAGCCAAGGTAAACCTCTATTTTCTAATAAACCATCATCAGTTAAAGAACATCTTTCCTCCAAATCCTAAAGAATTCAAATGAATAAGGCTGATCATGCCTCGCAAGCATTTTACAATAAAAATCAAATCTCGGAGTATACTTTTACCAAAGAATCTTTTACGACTGGCACTGCGCATCTTCAAATGCAAAAAGTGGGTACTCACCTTCTCGCTAAACACCGAGTCATCCTCTTGGCCGGCTTTGGCGAGGTCGTTGGCTTCGTTCACGTAGAGTCCGCTGTACACTTCGATCGTAGCTGGAGTACCATCAATGTCGCTGCCCTCCGCCCCCGCTTGTCTTCGCGGCCTGGTGCTCGTTGGACCATTGCATTCTGAGGGCTAGAAGAAAATTGCGTTTAAATTGGAAGTTCAGCCAATTGATTCTTTTTTTTTTTTAAGTTGGAATCGGATTTTGAAAAAAATTGTGTACTACCATTAAACGAGGCTTTATTGGCCTCTATGTTTAGAAGAATATATAAATATACTTAGGTATTACTCTTATATTATTGGAGTAAAAATGTGGAAGCCATACAGAATTGATTTCTGTAGACTTTTTTTATTTGGTGAGTTTGTCATTGTAAGTTCAGACAAGTTTGAAACTAAATTTATCATCTATACTGTAAAATTTGAAAAAAGGCGTCATTCGGACTAAATATAATTCAAACAAAACATCAAAAACCTATTCATTCTTTTTGGCAACTGGTACCACCAGTGATGACCATTTACTATTAAATTCTTCTACGTCTTCATCCTTGAGCATTTCTTGATGCATGGTGGTAATTTGATACTGCTTTGCAGAAAACGAAAACCTTCTTCTTCAGTTTATCAGTCTCTTAGTGAATGTATTTCCTACATAGAATCAGTTGCCATACTCGAAAAGTTATATGTAAAAACACAAAGTGAAATTTTTGCCCGTCATATTTTATCCACTAGAAAACAACAAGTAAGTTGATCTATAGACTAGTACGTACAAAGTTAGATACAATTAAGTAGATACTGTAATTTTAAAGCAGTCACTGCTGAAAAAAATGGAAACGACTACATAAGAGATTTATTTATTCGTGGTCTCACCACATCTCACATTAGGCAAAGACTTTTAGAAAATACGACTCTGAGCCTAAAAGAAGCACATAAATCTCTAGAAATGGCTCGACAACAGTCAGACTATTATACCTCAAATTCATACGTAAATTCGATTGTATCAAATCAATCATTGACTAATGTTCAACAATCCAATGAACGAAAGGATACAACACTTGCCGTAATCACTTCAAAATGTTATTTTTGTGGGAGAAATAGACATTCTAGAGATAAATGTCCAGCAAGAGATGCAATCTGGAAGATTGATCATTTCTCACAAGTATGTAGATCAAAACATCAAAAACAATCGCATGATTCAAATAAAACTTCAGCTGCTATGATTGGAATGATGTCAGCTGCCTCAACATCTTGCTTATCGAAAGGCATTGTTAAAATTGAAGTCAATCATATTCCACTTGATGCACTAATTGATAATGGAAGCTGGGACAGTTACATCTCAAAAACTATCACCACACAAATACATATCAAAGTGTTTCCTACGAATCTAAATGTCACAATGGCTGCTTCATCTTTAAATTCTCCTGTTTGTATAGATACTGTATTATGATTATAAAGATATCAGATCATGTGTAGGTATGTACAGGGTTGGCATTTTATTAGGGGCCTATATCTTTTCTCAGAAACTACAGGGTGTACAAAAAAAATATAAATACAAAAGTTTTTTGGTTTTAAGCAATGTTGTCAATTATTTTAGTTTTATTTATACAGGGTGAAATCAATCAAAACTTTGTATCTGTAATCTAGTAACTGCAAATATTCAACCTTATCCGCTGTTTGCAAATTTAACAAAAAATTGCCAGCTTATCCCTATTAATTATTAAATCCAGACGATTTTCTAATGATGAAGACAAATTTATAGAAACAAATAAAATACAAAGATTATTGGAAGAAGACATCATTGAACCAAGTGATTCACCACGGAGAGCACAAGTTTTAGTGAAAATTATTCGTTGACAATCAACAAGTTCACTTTATTAGATGCATATCCACTACCTAATATTGATAAAATCATCAGCCAAGTTTCACAATATGAATAGTTTAGTTCTATAAACTTACGTAGTGCTAACCATCAAATACCTATTTTGGAGAGTGAGCAAATTTATACTGGCTTTGAAGCATGTAACAACTTGTATCAATTCACAAGAGTTCCATTTTGCGTTACAGATGGAGTAGCCTGCTTTCAACGTATAATTAACAATATCATACATAATGAAAGGAAAGACTATCCGATACATATGCATTTTTGCTCAACTGACACAAAATGGTAAACCAGTCGCATTGTTCTCAAGAACCTAAACAAAAATAGAACAAAATCATTCCATTATAGAGAAAGAAGCATACGCAATAATAGAAGCTGTAAGAAAATGGAAGCATTATTTAATGGGACATTTTAGTATAATCAATGATCAAAGATCCGTTGCATTTATGTTTGACAATAAGAGTTTATCAAAAATCAAGAATGTGTTGGAAAAAAGAATTATCATGCTACAAATTTGATATGATATACAGGCCAGGAAATCAAAACGTTGTAGCTGACATATTTTCCAGGATATCAGCTGTTATTCAACCATCAACATCAGAGAAAAATTTGTATAAATTACACTGTTAGCTCCGCTAAAGTTTCGCTGCATAAAATTCAAATTAAACATACACAACTGTGAATCTGAGCGGAGTACTTTTTCGGGCTTGCGCGACTTCTACGTGGAGACCGAGTTTGAGTACTCGCGGCCCAAGATAAATGGCTATCGCACGCGTTTCCTAAAACCAAGAACTATTTTCTGCATATTCTACCATCAAAAGTGACTTTCGTGTCAAGAACTACTAATAGAATTAAAATCTGGCAATAAGAGAACGAATGGTGAAGATTTGTGGCAACCAGGGCCCTGGATAAGAGAAGCAAACACCATCTTCGGTAAGTACTCTCAAGGAAATCACAGTTGTATTTTTACCCTATGGAATTCTTATCGTCTTTCTATGTAGCTCGCAAAGCGCAAATCTAGCAATAAAATTGAGTCCAAGATTCTGTCATTGGATTAGATGCAAAAATTTACCTTATTCACTAGAAGACATCAAAAGAGTTATGTATATCCGCATGTCCGGTTTGTGCAGAGATAAAGCCAAGATTCTATAAAAACAAAGGAACTCTCATCAAAGTCATAGCACCATTTGGAAGATTAAATTTGAGTTTAAGCCATTAAGGGACCATTGCCTCCCAACAATCACAACAAATATTTATTAGACATTGTAGATGAATACTCAAGATTTCCGTTTGCATTTTCATGTTCAGATATGTCATCTGCAATAGTCATAAATTATTTGACTCAACTATTCTCAATGTGGCAGGTTATATTTCACAGCGATAGAAGAGCATCTTTTCTACCTGTTGATGTTGAATTATTTTTAACCAATCATGTGTTGCGTTGCCACAAGTCGTACAACTGGGTACAATCCAGAGAGAAATGGACAATGTGAAAGATTTAATGGAACAATTTGGAAGACTATTCAACTTGGGATTAAATCTAGAAACCTCTCGACGTAAAGCAATGGGAAGATGTATTATTAGATTCTCTACATTCAATAAGATCTCTTTCGTGTAATGCAACTGATTCTACACCTCATGAACGCATGTTCAACCATCCTAGAAGATCAACTAATGGAACCTCAATGCCTACATGGTTGAGCACCCCAGGACTCGTTTTTCTCAAGAAACATATTAGACATAGCAAATATGATCCACTAGTAGAAGAAGTTGATCTTCTGGAAGCAAATTCAAATTATGCTCATGTACGCCTATCAAATGGAAGAGAAATTACTGTATCAACTCGTCATTTAGCACCAAGGGGAGATGTGACACTGCCAGCTCTGACAGATCAAGATCAAAATGATGTGACACTACCAGAACAAGATCAAATAGTATATTATATACCTAAGGACTAAAGTGACTCTTTTTTTGTTTGTACAATTCGTCGAGGGATAAAAAGACACTTTAGTCCCGAGGTATATTTACTATTTCATGTACTTTAGAGGATAGAAAAACTGTAAAAAAAAATAATTAAATGCCACTTGACTTGACTTGACCGTACTATCAAAAAAAAAAAAAAATATGGCAGATCAAATTTTTACTAGCACTAGTAGCACCTCCTCAGATATTCCAATTTCTATTCCAACAGGACAAAATGCAAGGACAGATAGTGGAAAACCAACGCCAGCAGCGGCGCATTCAACGATTGTGCAGAACATGAACACTTTAGTCAATAAAAATTTCACCGCCAATAATCATTCACCTCTTTTTAACTTATCTAGTTGTAGTGGAGTTAACATAAATGTAAATATCAATAAAAATTAGTAGCGTTTTATAGTTACCTGATTTTTTTATTCTAATATGTACTAATGCAATATTGCTTACCTACCTATTTATTTTAGGGATTAAAATCGTTTTTAATCTCTAGGGAAAAAAGTGCCACTTTAGTCCCTGAAAATAGGGACTAAAAGAATACTTTTAGTCCCTAAAGTACATAAATGCCATAAAACTGCCAGAACAAGATTTTAATGAGTTAACTATTCCTAAAGAAAACCTTACATCAGTCAGTTCAGAACGTTCATCATCTTTGTTCCCTATAAATGATCGTTCCCTTCCCCAAAATTCTGAACAATCTCGCCATGAAAATCCTCCAGCTTTATCTACAATGAAACCCACTGATGAATCCGGCGATCGTGTTATGGTGAAGAAAAATCATAGCTCATCTTCATATCTTCAGGATTATGTCAGAAACTGAGCCAGGAAGAATGTTGTATATCTCATTACCTTATTTACTGTGTTTCCTATTTATTTACCTGTTATGTTGTATGTCATGTTGTTAGAGAATAATCTGTACTGAATTTTAACTTATTGAAGCCTTAATTCTGAAGGTCTTCCACTACAGCTTTCTTCTGTCCTGAATTGGCTCTTTTTGAAATCCTTCTTTAATTCCATATATAAAGTTGACCCCATTTGATACAGGCTTCTCTCTTCCTCATTCCTCAACTCAATACTGGAATAGCTGTTGCGTACTTTTCTATGACCCCCCATTATTTTAATTTCACAGCTCGATTTGTTGTTACGTTGGCTACTCTTGCAAAAATAACTTGGCTGGAGTTGATTTGAATACCACGAGAGTTTCTACCTGTTTTTCTAGCTGCGACTTCATCATCTTCTCGCTATTCCCAACAATTTGAGTATTCCTGTTGAGAATGCTTTT